TACAGTGAGAAGGGGCACACGCACCCCAATGTTTATAGCAGTGCTATCGACAATAGCCAAAGTATGGAAAGAGCCCAAATGTCCATCGATGGATGGATGGATAAAGAAGATGTGGTGTATATATATACAATGGAGTATTGGCAATTAAAAAGAATGAAATCTTGCCATTTGCAACTATGTGGATGGAAGTAGAGGGTATTATGCTAAGCAAAATTAGTCAGAGAAAAACAAATATCATATGACTTCACTCACGTGGAACTTAAAATACAAAGCAGATGAACATAACGGAAGGGAAGCAAAAATAATACAAAACAGGGAGGGGGACAAAACATAAGAGACTCTTAAATATAGAGAACAAACTGAGGGTTGCTGGATGGGTTGTGGATGGGGGGATGGCTAATGAGCAAGAGGCATTAGGGAGGACATTTGTTGGGATGAGCACTGAGTGTTCTATGGAGGGGATGAGTCATTGGATTCTATTCCTGAAATCATTATTGCACTATATGCTAACTAACTTGGATGTAAATTAAATAATTAATTTTTTAAAATGTTTACAATCACCCAAAAGATTTAAAAACAAGGTCTCAAGAAGATATTTGTATACCCATGTTCATGGCATAATTATTTACAACAGCCAGAAGGTGGAAAAACCCAAGTGTCTGTGAAGCAAAATGTGGTATATACATACGATGGAATATTATCCAGCCTTAACAAGGAATGAAATTTTGACACGTGCTAGAAGAAGGATGGCCCTTGAGGACGTTATACAAAGTGAAATAAGCCAGTTACAAAACAATAAATACTGTATGATTCCATTTACATGAGGTACCTAGACTAGTCAAACTCATAGAGAAAGAAAGTGGAATGGTGGTTGCTGGGGCTAAGGGGACGATTGAATAGGAAGTTATTGCTTGATGAATACAAAGTTACAGTTTTGCAAGAGAAAAAAGTTCTAGAGATGAATCCTGGTGTTAGATGCACCACAGTGTAAACGTACTTCAAGCCACTGAACTGCACACTTAAAATGAGTTAAGATGCTAAATTTTATGTTATGTGTATTTTGCCACAATTAAAGTAATAATAAAAATGATTCAAATAATACATTTTATGTTATGTGTATTTTATCACAATAAAAAAAATTCATGCTGCTGCAGTGAATACAAACTATGTAGTTTCTGAACTTAGAGGCCAAAATGAAAACACTCTTTGATCAAGAAAAATAAATCCTAAACATACGCACAGATGCTTTGTTCAATAATGAAAGGAATATAACTTTTTTTTTATTTTTTTTTTAACGCTTATTTATTTTTGAGACAGAGAGAGACAGAGCATGAATGGGGGAGGGGCAGAGAGAGAGGGAGACACAGAATCAGAAGCAGGCTCCAGGCTCTAAGCCATCAGCCCAGAGCCTGACGTGGGGCTCGAACTCACAGACCGCGAGATCGTGACCTGAGCTGAAGTCAGACGCTTAACCGACTGAGCCACCCAGGCGCCCCAGGAGTATAACTTTTAAAATAAAGTGTGAAAATATGGGGCACCTGAGTGGCTCAGTCGGTCGCGTGTCTGATTCCTACTTTCGGCTCAGGTCAGGATCTCAGGTTCTCATGGGGTCTGGGCCCCCAACTGGGCTTTGCTCTGACAGTGCACAGCCTGACTGGGATTCTCTGTCTCCCCCTCTCTCTGCCCCTCCCTCGCTCATGCACTCTCTCTCTCAAAAATAAATAAACTTAAATACAACAAAGTAAATAATTTTAAAGAGTGTGAAAATAAAGTGTGGTCTACAAGTTTTATAAAAAATGAGAGTGAAGAAAGATAGTAAGCAGGATGGAAGAAAGAAACTGTACCACTTCCATCAAGTGTTAGTTTGAGGATTTCAGATCAAGAGGCGTGGTGCTTCCCCGCACTCTTTGCAAAACAGGAAGTTCTTGCAGGCACGTGATCCAGGAAGGGGAGCAGAGCCCCCAGGATGGGGGAGGTTGGCTTCATCTCCTGCCACATCTTGTGCTAAGGACTGCCTTTTACGTGGGTAGTGCAAACTGAGCTCTCTGCCACATTTTTGCCTGGGCCACCATGATAAAATTGTGCCAGCTCTGGTTCCTTAGGAAACTCAGTGATGTATAGATGATGCTAATATTTTCTAACCAGATCCAGACAAGTATCGAACTTCTAGACTACCATTTATGTCTTTTCTCTCAGGACTTTGGGAACTTTTCCAACCTTTCTTATGATTTGGAACCATTTTATTTATTTATTTATTTATTTATTTTTAATATTTATTTATTTTTGAGAGAGACAGACAGACAGAGCGCCAGGAGGGGAGGAGCAGAGGGAGACATAGAATCCAAAGCAGACTCCAGGCTCCCAGCCATCAGCACAGAGCCCGACACAGGGCTCAAACCCACAGACCGCAAGATCATGACCTGAGCTGAAGTCGGATGCTTAACCAACTGAGCCACCCAGGTGCTCCTGAAAACCATTTAAATGACAGGAATCATCTGTGCCTTAAAGGTTGCACAGACACACAACACCTGTAAAACCTCATGACTTTTTAAGAAATAGATCTTTGGCAACATGTTCAGTTTCTTCTGAAGTTATTGACCTATTCAAGTTTTCATCCACTCCTTAAAACAGCTTTGGTAATTTATATATTCATAGAATATACTCAAAGAATATTTTAATATTCAATGGTACATATTTTCAGATTTATTCATATCTTATGTAATACTGTCATTTTTTCATCTTTTCAGAGTTTGTGAAAAAAATCCTTTTCAGGATTTCTTTTTTTAAATTTTTTTTAATGTTTTTACTTATTTTTTTTAATTTTTTTTTAACGTTTATTTATTTTTGAGACAGAGAGAGACAGAGCATGAATGGGGGAGGGTCAGAGAGAGAGGGAGACACAGAATCTGAAGCAGGCTCCAGGCTCCGAGCCATCAGCCCAGAGCCCGACACGGGGCTCAAACTCACAGACCGCGAGATCGTGACCTGAGTTGAAGTTGGACGCTTAACCGAATGAGCCACCCAGGCGCCCCTGTTTTTACTTATTTTTGAGACAGAGACAGAGCATGAGCAGGGGAGGGGCAGAGAGGGAGACACAGAATCTGAAGCAGGCTCCAGGCTCTGAGCTGTCAGCACAGGGCCGGATGCAGGGCTCGAACTCACGGACTGTGAGGTCATGACCTGAGCTGAAGTCAGATGCCCAACCGACTGAGCCACCCAGGTGCCCCAGGATTTATCTCTTACTCCTAATGTTTTTTTAATTGGCATTTCTTTTTATTTTTATCTTGGTCAGTTTTCTCTATTTGCTATGTTTTTCCCCCAAATAACCAGATCTTGATTTTATTTAGGTGTCAGCTTTTCTTTTATTTTCTTCAGTAATTTCTGCTTTCCCCCAATTCATAACACCTTCATAACTTAAAATCTGTCACTCTAGTTACATTAACGTAAATTTTACTAGTATCTTAAGGATGCACCAGGGACTATATTTAAGAAGGCACCAGAAAGATGTATTGGTCAATACTAGAAGTTTTATAGATATTAATATATGCCATTGTATTTTAAATAGCCAGATTAATCTTTGGTTACATCTGCTTTTCCATTTTCTAGGCCACAGGAAAATGATTATAGCCATGATTTTCTAGAGTTGGAGACCTCTGGGCTTCAACGGTGCTTTTATCTGTAAGTTAGAGTGGATCCCAAGTCATTTTGAAAGAGAATTCTGGTCCCATGAGCTTGCCTTAGCCCCCCTTTGCAGAGCTGGGATGGTGCTCTATAGAAGCCCGGGTGACTGCCAGGCTCCCCAGTTTTCACAGGTATGGATGAATTGTTGTCTTTGCTCAGATGGGGAATAGGAAGTGGGTTCCTCAATCTATCTGGACTTGTTTGCCCATCTGCAGAATGGGTAGAACAATAAGCCACTCACAATAATCTTTTGAAGATGAGGAAAATAAAACTCAAACTATTTACTAACTTCCCTAAAGCCACAGTTAATACAAAGTTTGAACAAGCCGTACCTGGGGTCAAGATCGCTGTTTTGATCTGCAAAGTCTCTACCTACGCAATGTTTCACAATCTGACTCTAATCACACATTTTAAAATGTGCAACACAGGGATACAGCTTATGATCATTTTGCATTTAAGCTATTATATATAGGATCTTAAATACATAAGGACATACGCCTTGTCAGAATGTCAAGTAGAAGCCAAATGCAACAGAGCTGATAAGATTTTAAAGCTGTATGCACATTTGCCAATTAGGAGTTTATTAATGATTTTAGCAAGAGCAGATTCAGTGCTGTGTGAGGCCGGAAGACCATGAAAAGATTGCAATTGTCATGATAGCTTTGAGGTAACAAGTGCTTTTACATTATATAGCATTACAGTGTGCCCTGCATCGCTCACAGTGCAAGCTCAGCCCTTCTGATGGCCTCCAAGGCCCTCCAAGACTGTATGGTCTGCCACCTCACATTCCTCACCCCCACTCCTCTATCCTATCATTCTCCCTGCCTCTGTTCCCACCAGCCTGCCCCCTTGCTGTCCCTCTGTCACGGACACATTGTGTTCTTAAGACTTAGTGCACCTGCTCCTCAGACTGGAAGGCTCTTCCCCAGATACCCACCCATGACTCCCTTACCTTGAGGTCTGCCCTGACCGCCTTAGGTCAAATTACCACCTGTCTGTACCCCTAGTCTCCTGACCTTGCTTAACCTCCAAAGCACTTGTTTTCTGACATAACACATTTCCCTTTTTACCAAGTCTGTTCTCCAGTGAATGTCTCCCCCACTCTCCACCACTAGAATTTAAGCTTCATGGGCACAAGGGTTTGGGTTTTGACACTCACATGTACCACCCACCCGGAACACATGTGATACAGCGAAGGTTTGGTGAAAGAATGAATGAACGAATGAACTAACAAATGTGAGACGACGTACTAACTACGTATTTACACTCATTAGTCACTAACACTTAGAAGTCACATCTGGGCTCTGCCACTCACTAGTTGTGCAAACTTTTTTAACCTTCGTTTCCTCATCTGTGGATGAAAACAAAAATATGACCTCATAAGATGATTGTTTTGATTCTATAAGGCAGTTAATGCACAGTGCTTAGCACCATGCCTGGAGCATACATGGGATATGCTCAGGAAATGTTAGATGCTATTACCGTATGTCATCTATCATCACTATAATCATTGTTTTATTTCATTTCCACAGTGGTCCTAAAAGGCTGATATTATTCCTAACTTCAAGGTATGGAAAGTGAACAAAAAGAGGTTAAACAACTTCTTCACCATCAGACAGGATAAATCTCCCAGCTGGTCTACTGGACACCTCTTTTCATGCTGCCTTGGTTCACCTGGCTCATGCCCGACCCTGGAGTCCTTGGCCACCAAACTCACTGGCTCCTTTCACAATTTCCAGACTCGTCTGAAGCATCAGGCTGCAGGGCTTCCTCAGTGGTTGTCCAAGGGGCCAAGGGGTGCAGAAGTTAACTTCCCATAGGCACAGATTGAGATCCTCTCCACTTAACCTTCTGAGATATTTTCTAAAACATAGTGTTGTTGTATAGCCTTCCTAGAAAAGTGCCTGTGGCTGAGCCTTCATAAGACAGGGATCTAGATACAGACCACCTTGCATTTTCTTCCTTTCTCTTTCCTTTTTTAAATTTATTTACTTATTTGAGAGAGAGAGAGAGAGAGAGAGCACAAGTAGGGGAAAGGCAGAGAGAGGGAGACAGAATCTGAAGCAGAATCTGAAGCTGGACACGTAACCGACTGAGCCACCCAGGCACCCCTAATTGTATATTTTTATTACACACATATATATTTTATTTTCCTATTCCTACCTATTCGAAAAATTTAAACATTGAAATCTGCAGTGGCATTGCCTGTGTAAGAGTCAGAGCTCTCACCACACTTGGGCGAACTGCTTTTTCTCTCTGTGCTTCAAGTTCCTCATCTGGACAACAGGGATGATAATGAACCCACCATCAAGTATTTAGAACAGGACCTGGCATATAAAACATTACCTTTTTCATTTTTTTAAAGATTTCATTTTTAAGTAATTTCTATACCCAATGTGGGGCTCAAACCCACAACCCTGAGAACCTGAGTCACATGCTCCACAGACTGAGCCAGCCAGGTGCCCCAAAATGCTACTTTTTGACGGTAAAATTTTAGTTAGAGTGTGTAAATCTTTAAAACTAAACTATAACCCAGGGTGCCTGGGTGGCTCAGTTGGTTAACGTCTGACTCTTAATGCTGATTGAGCCCCACCTGTTGTCCCCTCCCCTGTTCGCTCACTCTCTCTCTCAAAATAAATAAACATTAAAAAAATAGAAATAAACATGAACTATTACCTCATTTTCAAAAAGTACTTAAATAGTATCAATCATGCAGTTAGTGGCAAAGACGCTACTATATTTGAACCAGATATCATTCTGAGTACTTACAAAATATCTTATTTAATCCACACGAAAAGCCTGTGTGATAGGAATTATTATCCTCATTTTACAAAATTGAGCTCAGAGAAGTCTGCTGCCCCAAATCATACGATTAATTGTATCGGTGTCTAATGTCTATGTTTTTAATTATTCTTTTTACTTTTTTTTTTTTTAACGCTTATTTGTTTTTGAGAGAGGCAGGGAGGGGCAGAGAGAGGGGGACAGAGGATCTGAAGCAGGCTCTGTGATAACAGCACAGAGCCCAATGAGGGGCTTGGACTCACAAACCATGAGATCGAGACCTGAGGGGAAGTCAAATGCTTAACTGATTGAGCCAGATGCCCCTATGCTTTTAATTATTATACCATCTTCCCATCAGAAAATAGGAGGTAGGTTCCTCAATATGTAAAAATAGGTATATTTTGGCAGTATTGCAGTATTGCAAGGCTAGTACTCTGCTTACAAAATAATGGACTGAGTGGGGGTAGGGAGGGGTGGGAAGTAGAATAGAAATGTAGGCTTTGTTTCCAATATAATGTATGCTGTGTTTAAATTATTTTTATTTGTTTATTTATGTTGAGAGAGACTGAGAGAGCAAGCAGGGGAGGGGCAGAGAGAGGGGAGAAAGAATCCCAGGTAGGCTCCATGCTGTTAGCACAGAGCCCAATGTGGGGCTTGAACCCACAGACTGTGAGATCATGACATGAGCAGAAACCAAGAGTCAGACACTTAACTGACTGAACCACCCAGATACCCATGTATGTTGTGTTAAAAAATGTCAGGGCAGGTCCCTATCAAAATAACACCAGCATTCTTCACAGAGCTACAACAAATAATCCTAAAATTTGTATGGAACCAGAAAAGACCCCGAATAGCCAAAGCGATCTTGAAAAAGAAAACCAAAGCAGGAGGCATCACAATCCCAGACTTCAAGCTATACTACAAAGCTGTAATCATCAAGACAGTATGGTACTGGCACAAGAACAGACACGCAGATCAATGGAACAGAATAGAGAACCCAGAAATGGACCCACAAGCATATGGCCAACTAATCTTTGACAAAGCAGGAAAGAATATCCAATGGAATAAAGACAATCTCTTCAGCAAGCGGTGCCGGGAAAACTGGACAGTGACATGCAGAATGAATCTGGACCACTTTCTTACATCATACACAAAAATAAACTCAAAATGGATGAAAGACCTCAATGTAAGACAGGAAGCCATCAAAATCCTAGAGGAGAAAGCAGGCAAAAACCTCTTTGATCTTGGCCACAGCAACTTCTTATTCAACACGTCTCCATAGGCAAGGGAAACAAAAGCAAAAATGAACTAATGGGACCTCATCAAAATAAAAAGCTTCTGCACAGCAAAGGAAACAATCAGCAAAACTAAAAGGCAACCGACAGAATGGGAGAAGATATTTGCAAATGACATATCAGATAAAGGGTTAGTATCCAAAATCTAATAAGAACTTATAAAACTCGACACCCTAAAAACAAATAATCCAGTGAAGAAATGGGCAAAAGACATGAATAGACATTTCTCCAAAGAAGACATCCAGATGGCCAATCAACACATGAAAAAATGCTCACCATCACTCATCATCAGGGAAATACAAATCAAAACCACAATGAGATACCACCTCACACCTGTCAGAATGGCTCACATTAACAACTCAGGCAACAACAGATGTTGGTGAGGATGCAGAGAAGAGGATCTCTTTTGCATTGTTGGTGGGAATGCAAGCTGGTGCAGCCCCTCTGGAAAACAGTATGGAGGTTCCTCAGGAAATTAAAAATAGAACTACCCTACGACCCAGCAATTGCACTACTAGGCATTTATCCAAGGGGTACAGGTGTGCTGTTTCAAAGGGACACATGCACCCCCATGTTTATAGCAGCACTGTCAACAATAGCCAAAGGATGGAAAGAGCCCAAATGTCCATGGATGGATAAATGGGTAAAGAAGATGTGGTATATATAGACAATGGAGTCTTACTCGGCAATCAAAAAGAATAAAATCTTGCCATTTGCAACTACGGGGATGGAACTGAAGGGTATTATGCTAAGTGAAATTAGTCAGAGAAAGACAAAAATCATATGACTTCACTCATGTGCGTACTTTAAGAGACAAAACAGATGAACGTAAGGGAAGGGAAATAAAAATAATATAAAAACAGGGAGGGGGACAAAACATAAGCCACTCATAAATATGGAGAACAGACTGAGGGTTACTGGAGGGGTTGGGGGGGGCGGGGATGGTCTAAATGGGTAAGGAGCACGAAGGAATCTACTCCTGAAATCACTGTTGTGCTATATGCTAATTAATTTGGATGTAAATTCTAAAAAATAAAAAATTAAATAAATAAAAAAAAAATGTCAGGGCAGGGGCGCCTGAGTGGCTCGGTTGGCTGAGTGCCTGATTCTTGGTTTTGGCTGAGGTCATGACCCCAGGCCTAAGTCCCATGTTGGGCTCCATGTTCAACATGGAGCCTGCTTAAGATTCTTACTCTCTCTCAGTCCTTTCTTTCTCTTTCCCGTCTGCCACTCTCCCCTGTTCATGCGTGCACTCTCTCTCTGTCTCTCTCAAAATATAAATTAAAGTAAGTAAGTGAATGAATGAATGAATCAGTTATTCAGTCAGGGCAGAGGCTCCTGGCTGGCTTAGTTGGAAGTGCATGCCATTCTTGATCTTGGGGTCGTGAGCTCCTGCCCCACGTCAGGTGAAGAGGTTACTAAAAAAACCTACCAGGGGCACCTGGGTGGCTCAGTCGCTTAAGGATCTGACTTCAGCTCAGGTCCTGGTCTCATGGTGTGTGGGTTTGAGCCCCACGTCGTCCAGCTCTGTGCTGACAGTCCGGAGCCTGGAGCCTGCTTCGGATTCTCTGTCTCCCTCCCTCTCTCTCTCTCCGCCCCTCCCCTCTCATGCTCTGTCTGTGTCTCTCTCTCTCAAAAATAAATAAACATTAAAAAAAAAACACATGGAACTTAAAAAAAAGTCAGGGCAACTGTAAATAGCAGGGGAAAAGCTTACTATTACTAACTTAACAAGAATCTCATCTAGAAAAATGCCCTAAAACTTCAACAACATTACCTCCTAGTAATAAATATAAAACAAAACTGTTGTATTGTTCCTGCTTTGATAATCAAGTAACCCACATGGAAGACAGGAAATTGCAATTCTTCTGTTTTGAAACTTCAACTACAAGAGCTCGTGAGAGTATTAATAGCTTTTCCACTTACAGGATGCTTTTAGCGACGAGGTCTCGTCCTCTCTTCTTCTACTACTCTGCATGAAGTATAACCTGAAATTAAAGATTTCACAATGAGACACCAACGTGGAGCTCTCAGATTATGTTGCTCACTACTCTATGTGGGCCTTGTCAAATAAACCAAAAACGTGTGTGACCCAATCTGGAAAAATGCGGTTATTCCTCCCTCTCAAGGATGTGCAGCCTTCATCTTATCCAGTGACTCGGTCTTTCACCTAGTTTGGTCTGACACAGAAATTAACTTCATTTTCCAGCTCATCACACTCAGCATATGCTCCAACAAATGGATTCCTGTGTCCGGAGACCAGTAAAATCCCTGTCTCCCTTGGGGATTCTGCTATAGCATTTGTTCTAGGACATTAATGGATGTCCTAACCAGTCCACGTTTTCTGAAGCAATGACAACTCAAGGTCATAGCCTCAAAATGAGGCATGTTCAATATAATGACACATGCAGCACACAGACATTCCTGGTGATGTCAATCATGCATATTGCTTCCTTTTTCCAATGTGAAGTGTAGTGGGGGTTCTCATCCTAAGAGGCATTTTAAAAATCACCAAATCAATTTCTAGGAAGGAGCCTTTTGCATGAGTTAGAGCAACTGTTGTGTCAGTCCCCAATGTTTGCTCATAGATGTGTACACAACTAGAAATGTGTACCAGATGATTGACAAAAAGTGGTCAAGACTACATGTTCTCTCAAAATTCATGCCCCAAGCCAAAAAAAAAACAAAAAACAAAAACCTCCAAACTACTTCAAAAGATAGATAGATTAGCGACTCTGTCTGAAAGTCTTAGATAAGATGTTTTCAATAAATTGCTCAGGAAGACTGAACACTGAATACATTTCAATATAGAGGTTGTGATTTTAAAAAGGAAAAAAGGCGGGGTGGCTCAGGGGTTGAGCATCCGACTTTGGCTCAGGTCACGATCTCACCATTTGTGTGTTGGAGCCCCATGTCAGGCTCTCTGCTGTGAGCACAGACAGAGCCTGGAACCTGCTCTGGATTCTGTGTCTCCCTCTCTCTCTGCCCCTCCCCAACTTGTGCTCTGTCTCTCAAAAATAAATAAACGTTAAAAAAATGTAAAAAAAAAAAAAAAAAAAAGAGAGAGAGAGAGAGAGAGAGAAAAGAAAAATGTCTAGAACAAAAGGACATGTCCCAAAACAAATGGGAAAGAAAAATAAATTTGGAATTTTAGGGAATGTGCCAAAAATGCTGCAGGACAAATCACAGAAAGTTATTCAAAGACATATCATATAACCAGAATACCAAATCTCTCTTGCAGGTGAGTAGATTAGTTAACTCTTTCACAGTGTGAAAACTAGACTAAGAGAAATAGATCAGTTATCAGATCGTCTAATAATACAATGAAAATAAACACCCACTGACTGAATGGGAGGGAGGTAGATGATTTTACTTTATTTATAGCTTGAACTAATAGATGTGCATAAGATTTTTTACCGTTTACAGACATGCTTCTAATACACTTAACTATTAGTGACCAGATTTTACTTGATGTCCATAGTGCATAGTATAAAACCATAAAAACCACCGGAGTGTGGATTTTTCATGAGTAATCTTTTTTTATTAAAATTTTTTTTTAACGTTTATTTTTGAGACAGACAGAGACAGAGCATGAACGGGGAAGGGGCAGAGAGAGAGGGAGACACAGAATGGGAAGCAGGCTCCAGGCTCTGAGCCATCAGCCCAGAGCCCGACACGGGGCTCGAACTCACGGACCGTGAGATCGTGACCTGAGCTGAAGTCGGACGCTTAACCGACTGAGCCACCCAGGCGCCCCTTCATGCGTAATCTTTACTTGAGACAACTCAAACCAGGATGGGATTCAAAACTAAAAATAGTAACAAACACATAAAAGTGAGCTTATCAAAATGAGCCCTGCTCAGTCCAGGTAAACTATTCTAGAGTTATGGATGTACACGGGAACTTCTTGTCCTCCTGAAAGACATCAGCCACCAGTGCACTGCCCAGCCTCTGAGACCCCCTCATTGCTCCTTCCCTTGGAGAAAGAAAATTTTTAGTGAATCCAGAACAGAGCTATCTGAACAGAAACAAGAAAAAGACCACCATGATATGAACACAGTTTGGAAAATGATCACAAAAATGGTAGAAATCACCATCAGACTCACTGTTTTCTCTCTCTCATTGAGTGTAATACAAGACAAGAGCAAAATAATAAAAGACGAAGAAAAAGGAATGGAAGCAATTGAAAAAAATTGTCCACAAGGTAGATATTGATAAAAACAATAATATCAGACCGATTTGAAATCAAGGTTGAAAGTCTCAAAGGGGACTAGAAGAATATTTTATATTCCTAAAAGATATGATCCACCAAATATATGTAACGGTCAGGAACTTTCGTGCACCTATTAACATATTTAAAATTTATACTGCAAAGCCTGATAGCAGAACAAAAATCTACTGACAAACCCCAAATAAAGCAGGGGATGTTAACCTGTCATTCAAAAATCAACAGATCAAATTTACACAGAAATGTAGATGTAAAGGAATAGATCACACAATTTGATGAACAGGTACAGATTTTCTGCCCAATTAAAAAAAAAATACACAGCCTTTTCAAATACTCATGGAATATTTGCAAATATTAGCTACATATTAATTAGGCCAGTAAAAAAGTTCAATGAATTCCTCAAATTAGAAATTATTATTTTTTAATGTTTATTTATTCATTTTGAAAGAGAGTGAAAGGGGGAGAGGGACAGCTGGAGAGGGGCAGAAGGAAGGGAGAATCCCAAGAAGGCTCTGTGCTGTCAGCCCAGAGACCAAGGTGGGGCTCGATTTCACAAAACCATGAGATCATGACCTGAGCTGAAATCAAGAGTCCAAAGCTTAACCGGCTGAACCACCCATGTGCCCCAGGATTTGTTTTCTAATTTTGTGGAAGAAAGGTCCGGACAGGTTTCTCGGAGGAATGAAAATTAAGTTGAGACTTGAGAGCTCTGAAACTTAGCTAGGTGAAACAGTGAGCTAGATGGAGGAAATTATCCACCCGCAGGCCTCCCGACCCCCCACAGGACTCCGAGGACATGCCCGTTAACCATGGTTCACACAACAGTGAGTGTGACAGGCAGCCTCCCGTGTACACGGTTTATACCTAGCTTCAAAAAGTTTACACCTACTACCAAAAGTAGTAAATAGGTGGCTTACATATTAAAAATATATTCAGTATATAAAAATACATATTATATGCATATTCATCTATCAAGGAACCAACCTAAGAAGTGTCAGAGGTAGTCCTTGCATTCAAGAAGTATACGCAGCAGTGAAGAGTATAGAGTGTCAGACTTAGACCAAGTGAATAACGGAAACACTTCACAAAATGTGAAGTGAGCGGCCGGCACCGAGCTCGCACTTAACGCTTCACCCCTTCACTCCCTGACGAGCTCTCCAAACGGCTAAGATGAAGACGAGGAAACAGGCGCTTCAGCCGAGGAAACAGGCGCTTCAGCCTTGCCCAACCGAGAAGCTCTCTCTGAGGCCCCGGACTCTCCAGCAAAAAGAAAAAGATCACCAGGAGAAACCAGTCGTCCCATCTCAGTGCGCAGGTAGACAGCCCCGAGTTACACCCTTTTGTCAATTGGCCGACCCCTAGCAGCAACCTAGGCGGCTTCCAAAAGTTCGATAAGGGCCAGCCCAGGGTTCAGGCTTAGGGCTTGAGCTGAGACGACCCAGGGTCGGCCTGGACCGAGTGTGGGAGCTCCGGCTTCCGGAAGCCCTGGGCCACGTGGGGAGGAGGAAGCCAGTCCTTGCCTCGGTTCTCTCTGCAGCACGCGCTGTCTGCGGCTGCGCTCCCCTGCCCCGTCTCTAGCCCGAGGCCAGCCTTGGTGGCTTCTGGGCTTCCCACTCACCTGAGTATGGGGGCTCCGGCAGCCGCGGGTGGAGGGGAGGAGGAGGTCTGAAGGTGTGGGGTTAGGGAGGGAGAGGGAGGAAGGGGGGGACTGCGGGATATCCAAGGCCAGCAGCTCAAAGGACGGCCATCAGTCGTCACGGCCATTGTCACGACCACCCCCTGCCAAGCGTACGCATGGACATGGGGCGGGGTCCGGCCCTGGATGTCACCTGGGAAGGACATCCATCCACAAACTGGATCTGGACTGCCTATGCCTCTTCCCCTCCACCTCCCCTCCTCCCTCTCCGTTCCTCCTCCGGTTGCTGAGCCTCTAGGCCGGGTCAATCCTCCCTACCTGGGAAACCTCTTGCTGTTCGGGTGAAGTCAGAGCCCTGCTTCATTTAGGAAAGCTCTGAATAATAATTATGGGGGGGGGGGGCGGAGAAGGGAGACAGCCATAGGGTAAATCAAGGAAGTAATAACAATAGCCACTGTTGAAGCCTCCGCCACTGTGCCGTCGTCGCTGTGCTCTGTCGGAGCACCTGGGCCCATCTCAATCTTTCCATTCCTTTTCTGCGTTTGGTCCCATTAGCTTGCGTCTAGAAATCGATTCGAATGAAAAACAATCCGGGACGTAGGCAAATATTTATTTGCACAGATGTGTAGCACAGCTCTTTGTAATACTGAAAACTTAGGCCAACGGTACGCCAGTGATTCTAAATCATGGTACATCCTTTTAGTGGGATTTAACAACAAACAAAATGTTCCCTATATAGTAGGGGGCAGTTTACAAAACAGTTTCTGCTTAATAAAGAAAACATATAGACATAATTTCAATGGGCAGAGACTGGAAAATAGTTATCTCTAAGTGGCTGAATGATGAGCGTCAATTTTCCGTAAGGATAAGAGAAAAAAAAGTTATAATGTGAAATTATAAGTTAATATAAGTTAAAAGTTATAAGTTAAAATGCTCAATTTTGCCCCTCTCGGAATTGTCTCTCCCTCTCGCCACCTCAGGGCTGTCATTCTGGGAGAAGCGGCAGGGGGCTGCAGGAAGGGCGCTTGTATCCCCTCCGCGTCCCCCCCCTCCCCTCTCCCCTCCCCGACCCCGCCACGTGCGGGGACCCGCGCTTCCGAGGGCGCTTGCAGCCCCTCCGCGTCCCTCCCGCCCCGTTCCTCCCCCGCCCCGCCAAGTGCAGGGAACCCGCGATTCTCTGGGCCGGGAGAGGTCAGCTCGTGGAGGCTGGCGAGACCCCGGCCTTCTGCTGGGGGGTGGGGGCGCGGTCCGGGCTCGTGGCGTCTGCACCCATCTCGCCCTGAGTGTTGATTTCGGGAATCGATCGGAAATTACAAGGCCAATTAAATGCCCTCCTATTTAGAGCGCTGGTTAGGCCTGAGAGGCTTCAAACAGCGCCTCAGTCCCTTGGAGGTCTCCGCAGCGGTGACCTCACCCCGAAATCGGCCCTAGGAGATCACTGTCGGAGGGAGGGGGCTGCGCCGAGCCTCCCCGGGTAGCCCCGCCTCCCCCTCCTCCGGCTGGCGGCGGAAGAAGGTCTTAGCTGCTCAGAGCACGCGCCAGATCTATGCTCACTTGAGACCAAACCGCAGGGAGTGGGGGTGGAATCCCGGGCGGTCGCTGGGCCCGCGGGGACGCAGCCAGGAAAGGATGTCCTGGCCATCTGCTGGCCCCGAGGCATCTGCTGGCGGGTCCCCAGGAACGGTGATCGTATTCCTCAGAATCTGTTGCCCAGACCGTCCCCCAGCATACTCGACGCCTACTTCAGTTGCCCGGTTAGAGGCTGCTAGCTGTTTCTACAGTTTTCCAATCCAAATGCTTATTAGTTTTGCACCCCAATGGAGCCTTTCCAAATGGGGCCAAAAAACAGGAAGGTCTGACAATGGCAAATGTTAACCGAAACCGTGTTTACCTTGCATATTTGCTTGTTCGCAGAAGCCTTAGCGGTAATAATGGTGTCCAAACTCCTCATTTGACAGATGAGTTAACTGAAGCCAATGGAGTAACAGGCCAGTCCCTGGGTAGCATGATACCTTCATTGCATAGAGGCAGTCTGGAAAGAATTCAGGTAAGACCTGGGAAAGCTTGTTAGGAGGGTTTCCTATCTAATTTTCCTCTGCCTGGATACTAATGCCTGGAAAGTTGTAGTTTTTATCTGTTTTAAATGAAAAACTGTACCAATCTCTGTATAGATATATACCTGTTAATGAGAGTTTGGATTCTCTTTGGCTTAGTATTATGTGAGCTTTCCCCAATGTCATGCTGGTGTTAAGAAAGAATGTCAAAATATTCTCTGAAAAACTTCAGTAGCCACCCAATACTGCACTGTATCGCTGGGCTACAAGCCCTGTTGCTGAACATTTCTGTTGTTAATCAGTTTTCATTATTAAAAACAGTTTAGGTAAGAACATGCTTGTTTACAAATCTCTACACTTCTGACTGTAGAATGGATTCCTTGAACTGGAGTTACCAGGTTATAGACTACAGACTTTTTAAAGATTTGGCTGCACGGTGCCTAATTGCTTTCTTCTTTCTTTCCTTCTTTGAGACAGAGAAGGCAAGCAGGGGAGAGGGGCAGAGGGAGAATCTTAAGCAGGCTCCATGCTGAGCATGGAGCTTGATCCCGCAACCCTGGGATCATGACCTCAGCTGAAATCAAGAGTCAGATGCTCAACCAACTGGAGCCATCCAGGCGCCCCGGCCTAATTGCTTTCTAAAAAGCTTGTGCCAGTTTTATACTGTTCCTAGCAGAATAAGTGTGCCCACTTGCTTTGATTACTGGTAACCTTGAGAATTTGTTGAGTGCATGAAAGTAACAGGGTCTAGAAGCAGCTAGGTGGTGGCCATAGGGGATCTTCCAGAGGCATCACAGGGTAGTGTACCTTCTGTACTGCACCTTGAACCCACTGTTCTTGGCATCTCTAGCACCCAGCACCTTCCATGTTGTTGGCTGAGTAGATGCATTCCCACCTTGCCTCCCACCTCTCACCCCTGATCTCACAGGTCATACCTGGTGGATCTCTGGGCTGTCATCTGTGTCTGCTAGGACAAGGCATAATAAACTCATCACTGTGCTGGCTTTTCCTTCCTTGTCTTCATACATGCTATGCTTTCCTATTTGTTCTTTTGCTTTGCATCCTCTCTGGGCTGTCAGATATTGTGGGTCACTGCTGTCCCTCTTACATGGGGACATTTGGGTTCCACAGTGATGACAATAAAGGGAAGGCCAGATCTTGTCTGTCTTTCATACACTTGTCCATTCATTTATTCATTCCACAAATACTTATTGAGCCAGTTATGATATATAGGGCACTATGCTTGCTGGAAACATAGAAGGAAATAATACCAACATCAATATCTAACATTTATTGAACATGTACTAAATGCCATGCACTGTGTTAGGTACATGATTTCACTTAATCCTTATCATAGCCCCATTAGGTAAGTACTATTATTTTCCCCATTTTACAGATAAGGGAACTGATGCCTACAGAAGTTAAAGGTCACACAACTGGTTAAATGGTGGAGCCTAGATCCAAATCCAAGCAGTCAGCACTTAAAGCTGGATTCCAGAAGAATGGGGAATGTCTCAGGCAGAAAGGATATAATTAGTAAAGGCCCTGGGGCAGAGAATAGTTTGGTTCATTAAAAAACGGTCAGGGGGTACCTGGGTGGCTCAGTCCGGTGAGTGCCGGACTCTTGATTTCGGCTCAGGTCATGATCTCACGTTGGTGAGAAAGAGCCCCAGGTGGCACTGAGCCTGCTTAGGATTCCCTCTCTCCCTCTTTCTCTCTGATCCTCCTCAGCTCATGCTCTCTCTGTCTCTCTCAAAATAAATAAATAAACTTAAAAAAATAATGCCTTTGGCCGGGGAGCAGACGGTCTGAGGAGCAGCAAGAATAGATGCGATAGCTATCCCATCAGTCCAGGTTGAGATGATGGACCTTTGGTTTGGAAACAAACTGGATGAACCGGATGTGAGGTGTGACGACCAGGTTCCTAAGATGGTAAGTGGTAGGACCATTCCTAAGATCCTGGATATCTGGTGGGCGGTCAGGTTTGTAGGAAAGATCTTAAGTTTGGTTTCGGGGATGTCGAAATCAGTTGCTACCAAGACATGCACAGAGATTCCAAGTAAGAGCTCCGATCAGAATGTAGGAATTATCAGGGTAGGGAGGACCAGTGGAGCCGGCTGGAGCAAGGTAGTGACAGAGTGTGAGGTGAGAAGAGAATTCAGGGTGCCAGGATTTACAGGTGACGTTCAGGAAATGACCCTGGAAAGGTTTCCAGAGGAAACAGGAGCAGCCAGAACATTGGGAGGATTGGATGTGTTTCAGATGCAGACCCGCACCCTCCGACACCATGGGGTTGGTTAGAAGTCAGGACTGGAAGTACTTTTACCCCTTTCTTGGCTCTCACACACTGGGGCTGCCGAGCAGTCCTCTTTCTGCCACCCTGTGTTTCAGCAGGACAGGATTTTGACGTGACTTTGAGGGCCTTTCTTTGTAGTTTCTTGCGGATTTTTACATTTATATGTCACCTAACAGCAACAGGAAAAGGGGGGTAATTTAATGAAAGAACATTTCTATTTCACTGTATACACTTTCATTACTCGTATTTCCATTATGCACACTATTAGCCATTAATAAATAAATACAACTGAATGTTTAAAAATATCTTTAGGGGGCACTTGGGTGGCTCAGTTGGTTAAGTGCCTGACTTTGGCTCTGGTCATGCTCTCATGGTTCATGAGTTCGAACCCTGCGTTGGGCTCCATGCTAACAGGGCAGAGCCTGCTTGGGATTCTCTCTTTCCTCTCTCTCTGCCCCTCCCCCGCTCATGCTTCCTCTCTCTCTCAAAATAACTACATAAACAAAAAGAAATACATACAAATATCTGTAGAACTGCACTAACAGAAATAGCGAATCAAATTCTTAACCTTAATCTTTAGAAAACACCAGTGTACAAGTTCCAGTTCTGTTCCTACGTCTGTCAACGACTAGTCTCATTTAGGTACTATTTTCTGCTCAACAGAACTGATTCCGTACACAACCACTGAGTCCCTGCCATACAAGACACACTACTGCTGAGAT